TTCTTTCTTCCTGCCCCACTATCATGTTCACTCTTCATTCAGCTCTCAGTACTTCCTCTCAGATACATCACAGCTGATCAAACACCACCTGGCACTCTGCACCCTCCTCATCGTTGATGTTAGATCCCTTGCTTTTCCGCTGTCCCTGAGTTTGTTTTCTCCCCTTTCCCTTCCCCTGCCTCCTTCTCTCTCAGGGGGAATTTATGTAGAGGGCTTTGTTATTTGTTCGACTTAATTTCCGTGATGCACTTATTGATTTGATATAGCTCTTCTAACCATCGTCTTTGTAACTCCCACCCCATCACTGGATAGAGTTCTTTTTCTGATGGGTCTAGGTAAGAGAAAGTGGGGATGATGCTGATAGGATTCAATTGTGAGTGATTGTTACTAGGGTTAACTATGATGTTAAAAGCTTGGAAATGTAATGTGGGGTTGGGTCGGTTTGCTATCCAATGGGTATAAATTGAGTAATTTCAGTAATCAGAATCAAAGTAGGTAGGTAGATCGATAGATAGACTGCTTTTATCACGGTCAAGAAGGATGAGTCAGTCTTGGAGTCCAAACAATAGGCTTCTTTACCATTGTAAAACCAACCTATCTACCTACCTACCTACCTACCTACCTACCTACCTACCTACCTACCTACCTACCTTGACCCAGTATCAGAAAGCTGTGACACCACAGACATAGCAGAGTGGCAACAGCAGCAGAACCTAGAACCAGAGCACAAGACAGACTCTGTGGCCCAGGAACATGTAAAACTGAGTGCCTTCAGTCAAGAGGGTGACTTGTGAGTGCTAGCTAGGTTTGCTGACTCACAAGCTGAGCACCTGTGGCCTGAGGCTTATGGAGAAGTGTTATGCACTTGAGCATTTATTAACAGTGCTACAAGTGACATTGCCTGAGCAGAACAGAGGCCACAAATCAGAGAGAGGCATGCTTATGGCCATGGCTGAGAAGAGACTGGCCTGACTGGATGAACTGTGTTCTACGCATTTCTGATCCTTAATAACAATCTATTAAGCTATTAATTTCTCTAATAAATCCCATACTCATGTAATAACCAAATTCTGTGGTTATTACAATAAAGTATTAAACACAGCTGAGAAGCAGGCTACTGTCAGAATTGTAAAGGGTGGAGGTGTACTTGACCCTGCTTCACAGGAACCAGCCTGGGGCTGATTTTGTGTCTGATTTTTCCTTCCACCTTGGGAAGCCATATAGCCCCTCACGATTTTTAACAATTTATCTTTGAAACTTATTCGGTGCTGTTCACACGGTTGTATATGGGTCTTTCCATCACTTCCCCTACAGATGGAATTTGTTCAAATGACAGAAATCCTTCGCCATCAGTGTTTGAGGAAACCGTGTGCACATCTCACAACTCCAATAGAACATAAGAGAGACCTGGATTCAATTCTTGCTTGCCTCTCCTTAATTACGTTCTGGACCACATTTCTTAATCTCTCTCAACCTCATTCGTCTCTTAGGAAATCAGAGTAATTATGTCTACCTGACTTACCTGTAGGTTTGTATTAAATGATGGATGTGATAACTTACATGGAAAAACTGAGACCTGGCTCAACAAAAGGTACCTTTGTGTCCCTGGCAACTCTTCTCCCATCTTCTAAGCATACATCCATGTTAGCATTGCTCATGTTTCATAGGTGGTTAGCTTCATGAAGTCTTCTTACAATGTAAGAGAATGAAATACCACAGTATTTGTGGGACACAGAAAGATTTCTCCCAAGTTCTCTCCCTCCAAAATATGCCAAACTTAGCTGCTTGCTACACATGGTAAATAACTATGCACTTGGAGGTCAACAAAAATAGGTCAGAGGTTATTCTCCCTAAGGGTTATCAATCACAGAGAGCAATCAGACTGTATAGTCTGTCCTACCCTAAGTAGAGCCCACTCCCTTCTAATTAGGATAGTAGATTGTTTCCTTGAAGGAGAACCCAGGGAAATCAAGCCCACTCAAGGGTGACCAAGGTTAAGCTGCCATATTGAGTCTCGCCGTCTCCTTCCTATTATGTGTACACTCTTAGCTCATCCCTTTTCTGTTATGCTTATGCCCATTGTATACCTCTCTCCTATTGCTTGTATTGCCTGTTGTACAACCTCTTCTTGTGATATATGTCTTTACTTGTAATTAGGGGGCATGCATACCCTCAAAGATATATAAGCCTTGGTTATCAAGAAATCACTCTCTCCTGCCCTCTCTGCCCACGCTGTGTGTGGACCTGGCTGTTGAGATCATGGCCATCCCAGAGGTGAGCATGCTACCATGAAATGTGTCTGGCTCCTTTATTTTACTTTCTTTCCCATCTCTCCCATTTCTCTATGACTTTACTATAATCTTTATATATCTTAACCGTACAATTGCGCTTACTGACCCCGTGATTAGTTGTGGGGGGCTGGCTACCCCCACAAGTATGTGTGAAGCTGTCGATTATGGGGTGTGACTTGAGATTCTACAGCTCTAACAAGATTCCCAAGTGATGCTGCTGGCCCCCCGGGAGTAGGCTGAGCAGGGAGAGGCTACAAGCCTCTCTCCTCTTCTCAATCAACGTTCTTCTGCCTTATTCTATCACCACGCTATGAAATCAATGAGGTGGCTGGTGGTTACTGTTTTTATACACATAGGATACAGCGGGAAATATCACAGGGTGTCAGCCCTAAGCAAGTGTTGTTTCATGATTTTTTTCTGATAACACACAATGGACATGCTGAAGTTAAGGTGAAGGCGTTTTTGAAAATAGCGATACTACACAGAAGGAAGCTCCAAACCACTGCTTGCTCATAGTCATCTTGCTAGCTTTTAAGCCGCGCTTTTGTGCCTAGCACGTACACTGCTAATTGTTGCTTTCCATTGAGTCACAGGGCCGATGATGATACAGAGTCCTGGGCTGTGAGGAAAGAGCACACTTTTCTGCATAGGAAACAGGTTGCTGGTGAAGTTGGCTAGATAAATCAAGTCCAGACTTGGAAATACCCCTTGGATTGTAGACAGAGGGCAAACGTGGAGGGAAAGGAAAAGGGGGAACGGTGGGTCAGGTGTGGAAGTAAGAAGCACGGAGGCAGTAAGTGAACTTGGGAGAAATCTTTCTGCATCCCACAAGTACTCTGGTAAGTGACTCTGGGT